CAAACGAGGCTTCGAAGTCTCCTCTTTCGGGGAGGTAAACCGACCCTGAACCCGTTTATACGGGTTCAAAGGGCATATTTTTGGCCGAGCCCACGGGCTCGGAGATCCCACATTAAAAAACCGGCCTTGTGCCACATGCTAACCCAGTTAATACTCTCAGTTAGTTGGACAGTCAGTCGATGTCGGACAACCGTTAGTCGGATATTAAAGTATCAGCCACCACAACTAGATTGCTGCGTCATTACCTATTATATCAAGTTCCTAACGTTTTGTACGTCGAACCTATTTAAGGACCGACTTAGTGAAATACAAGCTTCCACTGTGAAACTACTCTATAACAGATTCATCGCTAAAGATGCTGGAAAATAGGTCGGTACCTGACTCCACATGCTATCCTCTACCTTTATAAGAACCAGATCAGACCAAAAATGGTATACTGCAGCCATATATGGACACGAGCTTCCCAGTTTTCATCTTCCACTCTCGATAGAGCCCAATGGCGTCTCCACGTCCTTGTGGGTAATGAATTATTTTCACCCTACAATCCCTTTCTCACAGACGAGGCATCGCAACGCTCACGCGACTCTATCACTATTTTATGGGAAAATGTTCAGACAAACCAATTCTAATATTCACGGCAAAGACATGCCATGCAACGCGCATTGTAATGAACTACCCTCATTTCCCTCGTATTTCATTGATGAGATGTAAGTTTCACTAGACCAGATTCTTCTCACGAACAGCTGCTACATGGAACCTACTCCCAAGAGGATGTTTCCCCGATCACTACAATCTTAACCTGTTCAAGTCTAGACTCAACCATTTTCTTCCACACACCCCAATATCCCCCAAACTGTGCCTCATACTCTACAATCCTCTAGCTTGAGTGGCTCTTGGCACCTGTATAGGGCGAACATCATTGTAAAAATATTTGCATATTATAATGTATATTTGGAATTCATCATCACATTTTATAAATATAATAAATTATCTCACTCATCCTTTTTTACTGATTGATTTGATTATGTCTGTACCTAAGTTTATGAAAATTTTAAATTGCACAAGGACTTTACATTAAAAAAGTGTTCTTTTTTTCTTCATTTTCAAGACTTTTTTTTTACGATATTTTTATTTGACCTACAATAAACCATTATGGCTCATTCCAACTTAACCAATTGATTCGTATAGATAAAACATGTTAAAAATAATGATTTGTTTGAAAAGATTTGCAAGGATTGCGTTAAGTAGAAGGTGTTTCATTGACAGTTTTTCAGAGTTTGATCAAAACGATGAGATGACCTTCATTGTCAAGCCGAGTTGCCGCGAACGTGATCCACAGAAAGGTTGGAGCGATTAGCGGACATGTGAAAAAAATTGAAGCTTATTTAAACAAGAAATTGCAAACAAGGAAGAGAAAAGGTTATCCAAGGGATAAAATGGTTGTCACCTTCTTGCAGGTGATATCATGAAAGAAAGAAAGAAAGAAAGAAAGAAAGAAAGAAAGAAAGAAAGAGTTTAAGTAAATGAATGTAGAAAGCAATGAAGGCAAAACTAAAAAAGAAAGTAATATGACGATGAGGAACAAGCAAAGACGCAAACACACACACAAAAATGGAAAGTAGCAAAAGAAAGAAAGAAAGAAAGAAAAGAAATTTATGAAAGGAAAAATGTAAATAAAAAGAAAGAAAGAAGAGAAAATGCAGGTAAAAATAAAGAAAGAAATATAAAGAGAAAAAAAAAACAAGTAAAAGCACAAACGCACAAAGCAAACACACAAAGCAAGAAGCGGTAAAAGAAAAGAAAGAAAGAAAGAAAGAAAGAAAGAAAGAAAGAAAGAAAGAAAGAAATGAGATAAAAGAAGTTAAAGAAAAGAAAAGAAAGAAATGTGATACAAGAATATAAAGAAAAATGAAAGAAATGAAATAATAGAATGTAAATAAAAAAGTAGAAAGAAAGAAAGAAAGAAAGAAAGAAAGAAAGAAAGAAAGGGGCGAGTAATAAAAAAATGAAGGAAAAACACTAAAATTCAGACGATAAAGTTCATGGCGATATTCTTAAACAAACATTATGTCTACATGAAAAATACAAACATCGCTCCTTCTCGAGAATTAGAGAACAAGAGAAGAAAAAATTAAAAACACGAAAAAACAAGAATAAAATAAATAAAGATGGCAGTTCAGGTAAGAATAATTGTCTTTCTGTGGACACAGTGTCAACAAAGCAGTGGTAGATGTCTCCCTATTCACCACCGTTATATACATTAGAAAAAGAATTTAAACACCTCCAGAATTTAAGGAAAATCATTCTAGCTTAAAATGACGGTCTTGGTAAATTCTATGAAGCCATGATTCTTTGCAATACATACACGCACACGCGCACACACACAGACACACAAACAGACACACATACACATATATATACACACAGAGCGTGCGATGAATAAAAATTGTCGCCATTTTGTATTTTTAATTTCTTTTTTGAGTTTTTTGTCGACTGCACTGTATAGTAGGGTAAGTTGGACATCCTCCGTCAGAAAAATTGACGCAATTCTCTTCGCCAGAAATTTGGAAACGGTATGATGTGCTGCTTGGCATTCATACCGGAAGCTCCATTATGAACATTACAAAGTATTTGGGTGCCAATATGAAGACAGTGCAGAGGATTCAGAAAGAGTTGGATGCGTCCAATAGTGATTACGAATGTACGGCAGCTCGGAAAACTCACTCCGATCGTTCTGATAAGAAAAGAACTCCTGAATTTCTTGGTAAGACTCAACACGAAGGCCTATATCAAGTGCCTTGATGAGGTAGTGCTACCCTGGGTCGAGGGTAGCTGCTGGAAGACCCTGTGTCTGGCAGCAGGGCTCTGCACCATGCCACACGAGCAGAAGAACCCAGTCATGGCTATCAGACAATTTCTGCAACCATATCATCCCCTTACATCTGGCCACCTAACTCCCCAGACTGCAAGTCCCATGATTATTATGTGTGGGACGCAGTTGAGCGAGAGACCAACAAAACACCTTGTCACACTGAAGACGAACTGAAGGCAAGGATTATGGCAGCATTCACCAACTCGTCTGGTTGGCGTGACTGAACCCAATGTCGATTTTATTGAGTAAATTTACTTTTTAGTATTTCAAGATATTTTTCTGTAATTTTGGTAAATATATCAGTGTTATTTTGATTTTTGCGTCATTTATGAGACAATTTATCTATCGCACCAATATACTATGCATGGACGAATGGTAGACTTGTAACTGTGTAAGAGAGATTTATTACTAGTATATATATATATATATATATATATATATATATATATATATATATATATATACTGTTTTGACAGACTGTTTTGCTGTTTCACAGCTCTTCATATATATATATATATATATATATATATATATATATATATATATATATATATATATAATTTAAAGAAAAAAACAGACGACTTTAAGGTTCCATCGTTATAATTTATTTCACCAGAGATTTTATTTTTCTCTGGACTTTCAGACTTCACTTTCAAGGGTGAAAAAATGAATTTAAAATTTACACTTTTGAAGGGCAATATTAAGCTTATATAAGGTGACATAGAGGGTGGTGAGGGATAGTGTGAGAGACATGGTCGAAATTAGAGAAGGAAATGGAGAGTTTTAAAATTTATTTTTATTTTTATTACAGTATTTAAAATTGAGGAGGAGTGGGGTAAGGATCCGACATTGACCTATTTAATCGGCCAACTCAGCACAAAAATAAATTCTCTGGGGAAATAAATTATAACAATGGAACCTTAAAGTGGTCTTTTTCTTCTTTAGATTAAATTATTCGCTCTGACTTAATATTGAGCTCTCCGGATTTCATCCACCTTGGGATTATCCATACGGATTACCAAGATTTTCGTTACTTATATATATATATATATATATATATATATATATATATATATATATATATATATATATATATATAAAAAAGTACGAGGGATGAATTGTCTTCTAAATTACGCAAAAATGAAAATAACACTGACATTTCATTTTAACATATATATTTACCAAAATTACAATTCATGTCTCTTCATCATCATCAGTAAGGAAATTGTCGAGCAATGTTGCATACTTCCAAAATACTATTATTATTAAAGCTTTATATCTGACTTTTTCTTTGTTTATATTTTATTCCTTTGAAATATGTTTTAAATTATATAAAATTTTGAACAATTTTTTTTTTCGATTAGGCCTACCTGCCATGAAAATCCAGATTCGGAACTCTGGTTTTTAAAAGGCAAGCACAATTGTGGATTCATGCTTTTTTTTCTCTAACAGCATTTATACAAAGCCCGAGTTTAAATTCGAACTCGACTCGCCGATTTTGATTTTCTAGATGATAATCTTTAAACTGAGAATGTCTGGATGCAAAAGAGTTGAGAGTAAGGAGAAGATGAGTAAGTAAAAAAATTAAGGATTGAAATCATGAAGAGAATAGAAAATGACGGAAAAAAGAAACTAACGTGTGATGATAAAGAAAAGAGAAAATTAAACAAAAGAACGAGAATAAGAACGGATTAAAAAAGCAACAAAAATCGACAAAGAAAATAAATCTTTTCAATATTACTCCTACCCTGTTACTAAATTTCCCTCCTACTTACGCCATTTTTCTTTCCTACCACCATTACTTGCCGCTTAGCCGTGTTTTGTCATTTGGAAAAACACTGCAAAGGGGCAAGTAATGGCGGTAGGAAAGAAAAATGGAGTAGGTAGGAGGGAAATTTAGTAACAGGGTAGGAGTAATATTGAAGACATGAGGAGGAGGAAAATCTGTAAGCGGTGAGGAAAGGATGAGATGTGAATATACTGGACAAGGATATTGACAACTGAGCTCCCTGCGGCACAAAAAGGACTTTAAAGGTCTTTTTTTAGGGGTGGGTAAAAATAAATATTGACTGAAGTCCTCGAGTGTATCAATAGACAAACCGCTTTTTAAGACAGGTGCTCGCTGAAAATGGGACCTAAAAGAGCAAAGCTTTTAACGACTGTTCCGCTTTCTCTCTTCTCTTCCCCCGACTCCTCTCTCTCTTTCTTTCCCTCTCTACCCTCTCTCTATCTCTTTCTCTCTCTCTGTTTTATTTTCTTTTTTGTTCTTTCTTTATCTCTCATACTGCCTTTTCTTTCTCTCACACTATTTCCTTCTATTCCTCAAATTTTATTATACCTCTTTTTCTTTCTTTCTTGTTTATTCTCTCTTCTTATACATCTATCTATCTATCTATCTATCTGTCCTTTCCTTTCGCGTTCCCCTCTTTCTTTACCACGCATTCTTTGTTCTTGCTTTTTTTTTCCTGAAAATGAGACTCAAAAGAGCAAAGATTTTAACGATTGTTCTACTTTCTTTCCTTTCGAATTCTTTCTCCCTTTCTTATTCTCTCTTCCACATTTCCCCCCTCTCTCTCTCTTTCACTCTCGCTTTCTCTCTCTTTCTCACTTTCTCTCTCTTTCTCTCTCACTAATCACTATCTTTCTCTTTTCCCAAGCTTATTTTTTCATATCCTCTTGTCTTTTATCTCTTCAACCGTTTCTCTTTTATCTTACAGTATTTCAATAACACTTCTCTTCTTCCTTCTCATCACCCTCTCTTTCTCTCTCGTTGTTTCCTCTTTTTCTCTTTTTATTCTCTCTCTTCATCTCTCATATTGACCTTTTCCATCTCTTGCGTACTATATTTCTTTCTATTCCTCAAATTTTATTCTTTCTCTTCTCCCTTCTTTCTTGTATATCCTCTCTTCTTATCTATCTCAGTGTGTATATATATATATATATATATATATATATATATATATATATATATGTATGTATGTATGTATGTATATATATGTATCTATCCATCTCAGTGCGTTCATTATCTATCTATCTATCTAAGTGTGTTCATTATCTAACTATATATATATATATATATATATATACGTTACACCTATCTGATCACAGCTCCATTAGAACCCATTTAAACACAAACACAAATTTACCAGACTCCATTAGAAACATACTAGTAGAAAACACAAAAATGACTAAAAATAATGGAAGCTTTATTCATAAAAAAGAAAAAGCCAACTCTTAACAATATTAACTACGAACAAAGCCACAATGTGCTAACCGTATTCGGAAATTAAAAACATCCCTACCACACACTAAGACATACACATACCGCACACACTCAATTAAGATGAAAAATCCAATCATCCTTGATAATGGCTAAAGGTATATCCGAAATCGCTCGGAAATATAAAACATTTGGACAGTTCTTACACATCCTTTGTCCAGAAAAGAATGCTCTTGTCAGAACACAAGAAAAATTAAATAAAAAGCTTCACCGTAGTACCTTGTCTGTCGTTTTTAATGAAACATGCATAAAGGAAGGATTGCTGCCTATATATATATATATATATATATATATATATATATATATATATATATATATATATATATATATCAGTGTATTCATTATCTATCTATCTAAGTAACTATTCTTTGTCTTCGTTTTTCCCTTTTTCCTTAATCATTCATTCTTTGTTCTTGCTTTTTTTCAGTTTTCCATTTCAGACACAGAAAGCAAAGTACAAAGACTCATACAGAAAGTAGCAAAAGAAAGCAAGAAGAAAGGACTAAGCATCCCTTGCCAGAATACAGCATCTATAGTCGCCAGCGAAAAGTAATAGCCCAAGATACGAGCTACGAATGTGTTTAAACATAGGGCAGAAAATGTAACATCAAAATCCGAAGGCGTATTGGAATAGCGAAATAGGCCTTCTAAAAGTTAAGCAAAGTCTAAAGAAACGGTAAAATTATGTTAGAAATAAAGAAAAGAGTTATCTAATATTCGTTCTTTTATATGGCAGTGAGTACTGACGATCTCCTCACAGATGAAATGGAGAGACTTGTCGCAACTAAAATGTGGATCTACAGAAGAATGTTGAAAATCCCATTGACTGAACATGTGAGTAACGGGGAAGTTTTTAAAGAAAACGGAAGCCAAAAAAAAAAAAACACTTAAAATCAGAAAGAGAAATTTTAATTTCTAGGACAGATAATGAGGAAAGAAGGCTTTGGGAATTTGACACTCACAGGATATACTGACGGCAAGAGAAACAGAAAAAAAACGAATAATCTATCTAACGAACTTGTGTAAATAATTAGTTGGTAGAACAGGGATTAAGATGAATAGCAAAAAGACAAATTATTAAGAGCTGCAAAGAACAGGAAGTTGTGAAGAGCCATGATCGATCACGTCCTGAAGAGCCACGGCACATAGAAGAAGATCAGTCATAAGTAGATTTATACAATATCTTGGTAGATTCATTTTTCATAATGTAAACAACCCGAGAATTTTGACGGTTTAATACTTATATTATTAACGATATTAATTAGTTATTAATCACTGTCTTATACCACAAAGTGTTTATCATCGGAATGCATCTTGCACATTTATAAATCTACCATTCATATATGCATTGAATATTGCTGCCATACCTGGTCCGCTGTTCCTGATGTATAACTCGAGCTTCTTGACAAAATTCAAAGGGCCTATAATGCAATCGACCCTGACATGGCATCTCGACTTCAGTCACTTTCTCACCGACATGACGTGGCTTCCCTCTGTCTTTTCTATAAATATTTTCATGGCAACTGTTTTGATGAGCTTTTTTCCTTAATGTATTTAATCGTTCGACTAGATTGGCAACTAGGCCTCATCGTTTTACTGTTGAACTAGCTAGACTTCTATTCTAATAGTTTATTTTCTAGCATTTCTCACCTGTCGATTTATTGCTTCACTAACACCTACAATATTCAAAAATTAAAATGCAATGCTAATCGCCATCTTCTGTCTTCTTGAATCCTCTTCCTTTATTGCCCTTCTCATTCATTTTCGCTCTGACCTCTGTAAACTCTTTCACGCTGTAACCCTCTGTGTTTTAGTGGCATTTCGTCTGGTTTGGGATGAAATAATTAAAAAGAAAATAAATTCAAATTAAGGTTTTATGGCAAATAATAGTTAAATATCCGAGAAGTTAAAGCGGCATTGATGATCGATATTTTGGATACGATATTGTGTGCATGAAATAAGAAAAGATACAAAGTTAATCAGCTTCTTTTCAAAGATGTTATTTTTAAATCATCAACACGAAAAGAAGTTTTCAGTAGCTATTTTAATCCCGTATCAGTTGGTTAAAAAACAACTGGACGTGCATAATTTCCATTCAAGTCTTCTATCTTCTGTTACTAAGTTATTTTCTATTCTGAGTTTCTATTTTAGTTTGTCCTTTTCGTCCACCGGTGTTGCCCTTCCTTAATTGTGTTCAGAATACGAGCGACAAAAAGACTGTTGATCTTTCGTAACAGCCACTTCGTTTTCTATTTACTTGTTAAGTAATCGAATATAATAGCATGCGATAGTGACGGTGTTTATCTTGGATATTATCTTCATTTTCTTCTTTTTTGTGTGTGTGTCTCTACTTTCAGATTTGCGCATTTCAGCACAACGGTTTTCACGCAACCTGTATCTAATGAAGCACAACATTTAAAGTAAAAATCTGTTTTAGAAAACCCCACAAAAACAAGATTTTTGACGAAACTAATAAAAGCCCATATCATTTGGTTTGGTTTGGTTTGGTTTGGTTTGGTTTGTTTTACGGTATATCAACCTCAGTGGGTTATTTACTGCTGGTAATATTTTGTTTTGTCAAAAATCTATTTCTGGTAATATTTTTCCTTCAAAAATGTATTGCTGGTAATTTTTTTTTCAAAAACGTATTGCTAGTAATATTTATTTTTTAAAAACATTGTTGGTAATATTTTTTTTCAAAAATGTATTGCTGGTAATAGTTTATTTTTTTTTCTTCAAACATTTATTGATGGTAATAATTTTTTAAAGTATTTCTGGTATTAAAACCTATTTTTACACTTTCATGGTGTTTTTACCCCAGTTTCGGGGTTAAGTATTTGCCCATAGCTGGTGCAGGGTGGACCTGGGAACATCAGTAATTAAGAGGCGTTTCCACACTTCTCAAAACCTCCTGATCAGTAGCCTTGCTGCTGGACATAGTTTATCGTCTTACCCAGAACGCGGATGTCGTTTATCGTCATACCCAGGACAGTCCTTCTTGGTTGGGCGAATTGCTGGATTAATAGCCTTGTTGGGAAATTTAATGTCAAAATTTATTTTTGTGACGTCACTTGGTCCAGGGTCGAATCCTTTGGTCACGGCGCCAACTGTGACGTCGCTCCTCCTGGTCGCTCTTCGCTGTTCCAAGTGTGACGTTCCAACCCCTTGGTTAGATGATTACCAGCCTCGCCTCTCCCAACTCGCTTCCAACACCTGGTTACTAGGGTAACTGTACTGATCTCCGGTCTGCCTACCCACGTTGTGATTAGATCCTAGACAGACGGGATCAAACAGGGATTGGGGCCGTATGCAAGTTGAGTTCGACGGGGGTGGCAAAACACAAGTAAAAGAAAAAACTCACGAGACCAAAAATTACTGATAAAAAAGGGTAACAACCTTTTATATCTAATGTTCGTTACATAAAATTATTCTTACTTCCCGACCCGCTTTGTGGACTGTGGCACCAAGCTTCTATCATACAACAAAAGACTTCGAGTTGCCTACTCTCTAGAATTCTGTGTGTCGGAGTGTGGTTTAGTTTTGACACTGGGCGCTAATCTCTACCAGTCGTTCACGGCTGATTCTTCTCTTCGGCTTGAGTTGGACGTATTTCTTCACTTCGATTTGGTTTGAGACGAAGTTCTGTTCTTGGGCTTGGTTTGATTTCAACTTCTTCTATGCATAACTGCAAGTAACTTCTTCTTCTTCCGTCCTGCAACTCTTCTCTCTGCCGTCTGAGGTGATCTGAGCTCTCTGTCGTCTGAGGTGATCTGAGCTCTCTGTCGTCTGAGGTGATCTGAGCTCTCTGTTTGGCCTGCAACTTTACTGCCCGTCTGGCCTGCAACTTTACTCTCTGCCGTCTGAGGTGGACCCTTCTCGCTGCCGTCCGGGGCTGAACTCATCTGCTTGTTTGGCCTGCAACTTTACTGCCTGTCTGGCCTGCAGCTCTTCTTCTTGTCGGGCCTGCAATTCTTCGGCCTGTCTGGCCTGCAGCTCTTCTCTCTGCCGTCTGACCTGCAATTCTTCGGCCTGTCTGGCCTGCAGCTCTTCTTTTTGTCTGGCCTGCAATTCTTCGGCCTGTCTGGCCTACAGCTCTTCTTCTTATCTTCGACTTGGCTGCAACTTCTCTGCGGCTTTCGAGCAATCTTCTTCTTCTTCGACTTGGGCTGGAAGGATTTCTTGTCTTAGGATTCTCTTGCCCGCAAAGGGGCGAATGAACCGGGCCCGATGCCCGCGTTCAAGCTCCCTCGCTGCCCGCGGTCCAGCTGCAACTTTACTGCCCGTCTGGCCTGCAACTTTACTCTCTGCCGTCTGAGGTGGACCCTTCTCGCTGCCGTCCGGGGCTGAACTCATTTCTTTCGATTGGGGTCCTGCTTTTATTGACGCCGCAACAAACTGGGTTGGGTCTGTCGGCGTCAGGGTTTTCTCGATAATTCCAAAAGTCGCATTACTTCTGATTTCCCATTATCGCTCTTATTTTCACCCCTACTTCCTCCACAGTGCCTCTGGTGGGAGGCGCATACCCATCTCTCCCGGTCTCTCGTATGTCAGGTGACCGTTTTCGACCAATGGGTCTTGATCGAGCGTCCTTTCTCCTCTTTCTCGCATATCACGTGACCGCCTTCGGCTAATGAGATTCTGGTTGGGCGTCTCCCGTACTTCGTGACGTCTCCAATCGGGCGTGGCTTATCCGTCGTTGTCCTGGGAAAGAACACCTTGCTAAAAAAAAAAAATCTAATTTGGCCTTTTTCGCACGTACGAAAAATGACAATCTCGGCCTTTCTCACCTTCCTGGACTCTGTCAAAACAGCCTGCCGCTAATTAGATGTGACTTCAGGAAGAATTTTTCTCCGTCTTACTGGCGCTCTCTGTGAGCCAAGAACAATCGTTTTTCACCTCTTTGTTTTTGCTCAGACCTGATAGTCAAAATCTTAATTATCTGAATTGAAAATGTCTTCACTTCATCATCGTGGGGGTTCCAATTTTTAACAGGTCAGAATCTGTATACAATTCCAGCGGTCACCTCCTCATCCCAAAAGACACCTTTCTCCGATTAATATTTCGTTTTCCATTGTTCTAAAAATCCCCATTTCTCCAAATTGATAATGAGTCTTCTACACAAAAGTAGGCCAGATGCTTTGACCGACATTTTTATCAATCGTGCATATGTTCATATACTTTTACCAAGCCTGTTTTCTTTTCTTTCTTTTAATTACCTTTAATTCTATTCTCCCAAATAACAATCTCCATTGTCACTCGAAATTCGGTCGGGCGCGTTGGCCTCTTGACACCTGTTTTCGCTAATGACCGGCCTTTTGCATTACTCATTTTCTTTCTCTTTTTCTTTCTCTCTCTCCCCCTCTTTTTCTTTTTTCCTTCTTTTTTTTTTTTTTTCCCTTAGGATCGCCTAAGTACAATTAGAGAATTATTCTCGAAACTCAATTATTCTTCGTCTAAAAAACTAACAACTGGTTAATAAACCGAATAAAAAAATTAAATCATATTTCTATGAATATTTCTTTTCTTTAGTTTTTTTCTAATAATGCAGGGTGCCACATTTTTTTTTAAATTATAATTACGATTTATAATTAAATATTAGTCGTATTTATACTCGAGTCTATAGTCGCGTTTATCTTGCCGGGTGGTAAAGCTCTTTATGACTGTGGCGGTCCAAGGCACACCGAATCAAACGAAGGTGAACAAGGATCGAACCCTGCTGGAGGGTACATTTTATATATTAAGATTCTCGAATGTACTGGCTGGTACATGTAATTTACACTCTTTAAATGAAAGTAAAATAAAACAGGACGTTTACTCATACACGCGTAGCTACTCAAATATAACGTTTAAACAATAAGAAATAATGTCGGGTTAACAATAAAATCCATCATTCCTTAGAAAATACTTAAGTCTGTCGATAAACATTAGTCGGTTTATATTTGAGTTTAGAAATAAACATTGGTCGGGTTTATATTTAAGTCTAGGCATCTGTTGGATGATGGATGCTTTTGGGGTGAGTCTTACACATCTGCAAGGGATTGCATATTTGAGTTCTACATGAAGTCTGGTGTGAACCTGAGACGTTCAAATTATGGAGCCTAATTCAGAGTGGAACTTTTGATTGCCACTAAAGAAAACTCGGTATGTGAACGTTAGTGACAAAATGACGCTAACTTGGTTTTTGAGGTGCCATAACTTTTATTTTATACAGTTATCTCTCCATTGAGTCAAGCACTGGGAGTGATAGTAAAAAGACAGACATTGCTTAGAGATAAAAAGGGTAGAAAGTTGTGGAGGGCATTGATTTCCCACGACCTGAAGGCACATGGCACATTAAAGAAAAAGTCCCTTGCATAAATAGTCCCTGTATTTTGACGGGTTACTAATCGAGTATGCCACAAACAAAATCCGTTCTATAAAATGTCAACTAAAAAGACTGAGCCGACATATTTGTAACTTTTCTGTTTTTGATTTCTCGGTATCTTATTGTGGGCACTTCATATATCAATATATAAAAATTAGCACTGTAAAATTGTCAAAATATTTTCACTTGTATTTCTATCTATCTATCTATCTATCTATCTATCTATCTATATCAGTCTGTTTCTTTATTTTTATCTATCTTTCTCTCTTTATATATATATATATATATATATACATAAGTTTTTTCCTTCGTATCTATCTCAATTTGTTCATATCTATCTATGTATCTATCTATCTCAGTCTGTTTCTTTATTTTCTCTCTCTCTCTCTCTCTCTCTCTCTATATATATATATATATATATATATATATATATATGTATGTGTGTGTGTGTGTGTGTGTGTGTGTATATATATATATATATATATACACAAAGTTTCTTCCTTTCTATCTATCTCATTTTGTTCATATCTATTTATCTATCTATTTATCTATCTCAATCTGTTTCTTTCTTCTATCTCAGTGTTTTCCTTCTTTTATATATATATATATATATATATATATATATATATATCAG